TCAAGCAGGGGGAGTGGGAGAGGGAGAAGCAGGCTTCCCGAGGAGCAGGAATCCTGATGTGGGGCTTGATGCGGGGCTCAATCCCAGGACCCTGGGATCATGACCTGAGCCGAAGGCAGACGCTTAAAAGACTGAACCACCCAGGTGCCCCTAACGAGTAGTTCTTTGACAATAATGGGATTGAGCTCGAAATCAGTAACAAGATAGCTAGGTGGTTCAGTCTAGGTCCAATCAGGAGACAGAAACCATACAGTAATTTAAACATGACAAGTTTACTATAAATTAACTATAAAGTTATGGCAAAAGAGTAACTATAAAGATGTAAAGAGAATTCTCAAAAGGTACCTGAGGGCTGAGGGAGAGTACCCAAGAAAGGAAAACTTGGCAGGGTCCCACCCTAAGACTGGGGTTCAGACCTCACTGCAGCCCTCCAGGACACAGGGGAGCCAAGGCTGGTGAGCAGGTGCACAGGGAGCGTAAGGGCACCACCCGCAGGCACCAGGCCCAGAGTCCACAGTATCCACATTGGGCAGATCCCCTGAAACAAGCTTCCAGGCCACAGGTGAGCCAAGACTGTTGGGAAGGTGACCAAAGGTGTGCGCACGAGGCGTGCAGTGCATGACCGCCACACAAAGCGTGGAGGGCCACGTGAATCGACCCTCCCGGGGGAAGAGCCGAGGTTGGTGAGCAGAGGTACAGAGGGAGTCGGGGCACTGCTGTGGGCACGTGGTGTCCATGCCTGGGGGGCTCTGGGACAAATGGTCCGGGGCATAGGTAAAAAAGGCTGAGGGTGCAGGTGCAGAGAGTCCGGGAGTAGCCACAGGTGCAAGGCCTGGAGCATGCAGCATCCCTCACGGGGAGGGCCACCACAAAGTAGTCACCGGGGCTGGACCTGGTCTGCAAGGTTGCCGGGGGATTGCCTGCTCCTGGCGCGGAGATGGAGCAGAGCACCGGCCCCCGCATGGTCCCTGACATCCCCGTGCACAGGCACTGCTGACAAACCATGGCACCGGAGCAAGGAAAAGCAAACCAGAGCTCCCTGCAGCAGAGAAAACAAGTCCTTTCCTTCCTCGAGTGTCCTTCCAGTGCCCTCTACTGACAAAGCTAACATCAGGCTCACTGTAAGGAAGAAATGCTGAGACCAGTCCATTATCAAAGAACAGGTACTAAAGGGTGAATCTGGAGCCAAGAGGCAAAACAGAGATAACAGAATCCATCTTCTTGGCTACTCAGAATCCATACGTGCTCTTCTATACATATTTGGACTTCCCTATCAGTTATATTCCTGCCAATAAGATATATCTATCCTTAAAAGTGATGTTCTCACCCTTCTCCCAAATGAGAAGACACAGTCCTAATACTCACTGTATCCAGAGCTGGCTATAGTAATTACTCCACAATTTTAGTCATGGTTCCATGAAATATTCTACTACCTAAAGATTAAATTATAAAGTTGACCTCCCACAATTTGTACATAAAACAAAAAGGGGAGTAAAAAGGAGAAAATGGTCAGTATAGACAAATATACATACAAGAATCAAAGAAACACATGCAAAGCTACTACAGTCCTCGTTTTTGTAACTGGTTATTTTTGTAAGTGGTCACAAGGTCATAGCTGACATCCATGGCTTCCTTCTTCAACTACCCATTCCATATTTCCCTTGTCCTCAGCTGAGATTCTGGGGCTCTGGGCTCTTTACCTGGTACAGTAACCCAAACCCTCATTCTAAAAGACCTTAGTCCTTAATCGCCCTGCTTTGGGGGAAGCATGGGTGTACTGAGAGGTGCTCCGAGAATCCTCTGGGCTCTAGACACAGTCTTCCTCAACCCCATTGTGTAGCAGCAGTGGAATTTTCCCTTGAGAATCAGCATCAATTACTTCACCCAGTCGATTGGACCCCCTCCCTTTGCCCAGTGGTTTAGTGGCATAAGGGGCCCAAAATGGCCAGGTGGCAGTCCCTTCTTCCAATTCCATGGTACCATTTTTGTGTCCCTTTGCGGAACATTCCTCACTTGAGAACTAAAATCTCCAAATCAGCAGGCTCCAGTTTTTCAGGATAAGAGGCAAAAATTCTGTGAGTGGGTAAGGTGTAATAGGACGAGTCATTCCTACTCCCACCCCTTGGTTCCTGGACCCACGTTGTGCTCGCCAGGGGGATGACAGCACCATATAAATGGTCTCCCATTCAAAGAAGTACTTCGTTCTGTAAAGCAACCCTCATTATTTCATGGTGTTGTCTCCCACGTGGTGCTAGAACCCAGTCTTCAGTAAGCTGTTCCACTTTTCAAGGAAGCCCCCTGGTTCCAGGAGAAATATGTGTGGGAAGACCTGTTAATTCCATGGGCATAAGCCCATTGCCACACTTCCTCCACTGTGAAATGAGTAGCTTGATCAGATGCGATGTTGTACGGAGTAAATGGTGTACGTGGTGTCCTGGGAGGGCCCCAGGAAACGACACCCCAGGGTGTGGGTGAGCCAAGGCCGGTGGGCGGGGATGCAGAAGAGTCAGGGCACTACTGCAGGGTGAGATCTGGAGCCTCTGGTATCCGTATCAGGAAAGCTCTGGGAAACAGCCCCTGGGGTGCTGCAAGCTGAGGCTGGTGGGCAGGATACAGAGGGATCCTGATGCACTGCAGGTGTGAGGCTGCGGCAAGGTGAGCACCAAACCTGGGCCGAAGCTGGAAGATTGCCGCGGGGCCCTCCACTCTTGGCACACATCCAGTGGTGTCCCCCCAGTACACATCTCTGACAGACTGCAGCAAGAGCAGAGGCACACTGGAGCCACGAAAACCCCTTTTCTCCTGCAGTGTCCTTCTAGCATCCTCTTTTTTTTTTTTTTAAGATTTTATTTATTTATTTGAGACAGAGAGAATGAGAGACAGAGAGCATGAGAGGAGGGAGGGTCAGAGGGAGAAGCAGACTTCCCGCTGAGCAGGGAGCCCGATGTGGGACTCGATCCTGGGACTCCAGGATCACGACCTGAGCCGAAGGCAGTCGCTTAACCAACTGAGCCACCCAGGCGCCCCCTTCTAGCATCCTCTTATCACCGAGCTCACTATACGGGAGAAATGCTTCAAGTCCAGTCCGCTATCACAGAATAAGTGCTGAAAACTGAATCTGGAGCTGAGGGGCACTATACCTATAACTGCCACACGGGGAAACCACTAAATATTTAGCAATTAAATAATACACTTGTAAAGAATGCACGGGTCAAAGAAGAAATCATAAGGAAATTAGACAGTACTTTGAACTGAATAATAATGAAAATCAAACATTAAAATGCCTACGATGTAGCTTTTTACTAGCAAAAAATATTTAAAATCAATGGTCTTGGGGCGCCTGGGTGGCTCAGTCAGTTAAGCCTCTGCCTTCGGCTCAGGTCATGATCCCAGGGTGCTGGGATCGGGTCCCGCATCGGGCTCCCTGCTCAGCGGGGAGCCTGCTTCTCCTTCTGCCGCCGCTCCCCCTGCTTGTGTTCCCTCTCTCTCTCTCTCTCTCAAATAAATAAATGCAATCTTTGAAAAAATATTTAAAAAAAACCAAAATCGGGGTGCCTGGGTGGCTCAGATGGTTAAGCGTCTGCCTTCAGCTCAGGTCATGATCCCAGCGTCCTGGGATCGAGCCCCGCATTGGGCTCCCTGCTCGGCAGGAAGCCTGCTTCTCCCTCTCCCACTTCCCCTGCTTGTGGTTCCCTCTCGCTGTCTCTCTCTCTGTCAAATAAATAAGTAAAATCTTAAAAAAAAAAAAAAATCAATGGTCTAAATTTTTACCTTCAACTAGAAAAAGAGAGCAAAGTAGAATAAAACCAAGACCAGAACTAAAGAGAACATGGACAAAATAATAAAGAGAAATATATAAAACCAAAGTTAATTCTTCAAAAAGTTGATAAGTCTTTAGCTAGAATGATCAAGAAAAAGAGAAGACACTATTACCAATATTACAAATGAAAAAGGGAATGTTCCTATAGATCTTACGCATATTAAAAGGATCGTAGGGTTATTTATAGACAATTTTACATCCCCATGACTTATTGTAGAACTGGAAGTTTGTACCTCTTGATCCCCGTTACCCATTTTGCCCCCCCCCCTCCCACCTTCCCCTCTGGCAACCATCAAATTATTCTCTATCTAGGAGTTTTGTTTTGTTTGTTCATTTGTTTTTTGTTTTGTTTTAGATTCCACATATAAGTGGAATCATATGGTAATTTGTCTTTCTCTGACTTGAATTTCATTTAGCATAATATGCTCAAGGTCTATCCATGTTGTTGCAAATGGCAAGATCTCATTTTTTTAATGGCTGAGAAGTATTCCATTGAATATATATACAGCACATCTTTCTCCAGTCATCCATTGATGGACACTTAGTTTATTTCCGTATCTTAGCTATTATTGTGAATAATGTTGCAGTGAACACAGCAATGCATATATCTTTTCTTTTTAAAAGATTTTATTTTTGAGAGAGAGCGCGCGCGAGTGCGCAAATGAGCGGGGCGGTGGAGGGAGGGTTGCAGAGGGAGAAGCAGACTTCCTGCCGAGCAGGGAGCCCAATGCGGCACTCGGTTCCAGGACCCTGAGATCATGACCTGAGCCGAAGGCAGACACTTAACCCACTAAGTCACCCAGGAGCCCCGCATCAATCTTTTCAAATTAGGGTTTTGTTTTCTCTGGATGAATACCCAGTAATGGAGTTACTGGGTCATGTGGTACTTCTATTTTTAATTTTTTGAGGCACCTCCATGTTTTGTAGAGTGGCTGCATTAAGATACATTCCCACCAACAGTGCACAAGGGTTCCCCTTTCTCCACATCCTTGCCAACATTTGTTATTTCTCATCCTTTTGATAATAGCCATTCTGACAGGTGTGAGGTGTTATCTCATTGTGGTTTTGATGTGCATTTCTCTTATGATGAGTGATGTTGAGCATCTTTTCATGCGTCTGTTAGCCATCTGTAGGTCTTCTTTGGAAAAATGTCTGTTCATGTCATCTGCCCATTTTTTAATTGGATTGTTGTTTTGTTTTGTTATTGAGCTGTAGAAGTTCTTTATATATTTTGGATATTAACCCCTTACTGTATATATGACTACACTGTAATTGCTCCTTCCCCCCAGGGGCCCTGGCTTATTAGCTGCTTGCTTACAAAGGTGCTGAGCCATTACCCTGGGCTCCTCAGATGTGGCATCATCTATTGTGTGCACCGCTTTCTGGGCTCATTGTCACTCAGAGGACTTGGGTGCAGGGGAACCATGCTGACATTCCTGCTGCTTGGGGGGCTAGGAGCAATTCAGTCTTACCTCCCCATCTTAGCTCCCCGTCACTAAAGAAAACCTTCAGCTTGCATTAAGTTCTGCCAAGGGGAAGCACAAGCGGAGATAGGAAGGCAGAGGAGAGGGGAGGGAAACAAGGTTGGTGATGTACCCACCAGCTTCTCAGATTCTCCCACCTGGTGGGAGGGCTTCTCCATACCTCTCTCCAGGTGCATGGAATTGCTTCTGCTCCTTCCCCTTTATGCCTAGAAGAAAAAAATTCCCGCCCCACCTCCAATCCCACTAGCGAGGGGTACAGCACTGTCCTTGAGGGTTAGTCACTCTATTCAAATTACCTGTTTCCTGCCCTGCCAGGACCGACTGCGGGTTAACAGGCATGTCAGCCTGGGCCCACTGCAAACCCCTTTTCTTTCCACTCCCCTGCGGGAAGTGATTACTCCAAATGGTATTCAGGCTTCAAAACCCAGTTCACAGGCCATCCCTTGGAAACTTCTTTCAATTCCCACCCAGGAGTACTTTGGCCTCTCAACTCCCCTGCACGCTCTGGGTCACGTGGTGATCACGTTTCATCTCTGTGTCTTCTCGGAGCTTCTTGGACGGAGCCTCCAGTTCTGACGCCCTTTGGTGCCCGCTAACTACCTGGTACCTGCTAACCCCCACCCGGCATTTGCAGAGCACCATCGCGCAAACCGTTTCTCATTGTAAGACCGTTGTTAGAAAAGAGAAGCGTGGGCCTAGGGCCTATTTACTAATCCTGTGGTCACGCTGCCACAACCGACCACTTCGGCCAACGCCCTGTCACCCGGGGTTGGCGAGCCCGAGAACGGCCCCTGCCCCGGGGCCCCGCGGACGACAACCTTGCTCCCCGCCACTGCTCCCCCAGGCTCAGCGAGCCGAAAGCCCAGCGGCGGCGGTCTACGCCCGCGCTCCTCCCCGCGCACGCGTGGCCGGCCTCGCGCGGGCCCCGGGCCCTGGGAACCATAGAGTGCCGCGGGCGGACAGAGGGGCCAGCAGCCGGGGTCGCTCCATCCCCGCTTCCGGCCGCGCCTCGCTGCTCTGGGAGCGGCTGTAGCGGCGTACGCAGTTTCCATGGGGACTGAAGATGGCGCCGCGAGGTGAGATTCCGGAGGTGTGTGAGTCTCTGGTCCTGATGCCTTCAGTGTCCCTCTCCCCCCCGTTAGAGCCCGACTCTTCATTCTCGGGTGTTAGGGACATCTCTCCTCACTTGTCTAGAGTGGGGTTTCGCAGCCCCACTCTCCGTGAGTGCCTGAAGGTCTCGAGGTGCAGGTCTCAGAAACCCCCAGATCCTGGGCTGGGCCTCTTCCAGGCCGGCTCAGTTACGAATTTGCTGCGTGACCTCGAACAGGCCAGTGCTGGCCAGTGGTGGCCTTTGCGCCCCGATGGCCCAAATAGTGACGGGGTTAACATCTTAGAGCGGCCTTGACTTTCACCCCGAAGACAAGAGTCGGGTTTGACGGTGATTCCGGGGAAGGAAGGGGATTGATGGAAGCCCCCCCCCCCACACACACACCCCCTCTCATTATCAGCAGTCGGAAGTACCCCAAGTGGCCTCTCCCAGTAGCTGCGACCTCGTGTTTTCTTCAAGTTAGGCACAGAACCAAAGAACAGAGATTGACGTGCCGTCGTGCCCATCCCTCTTATTTGTGCTCTTTTCAGGTAAACGGCTGTCCTCTACCCCCCTGGAAATCCTGTTCTTTCTGAACGGGTGGTATTATGCCACCTATTTTCTGCTGGAACTCTTCATATTTCTGTATAAAGGTAAGGCCTGGGGCTTGACTACCCTTGCCCCAACATCCCTTCCCCACTTCAGCCCAGAGCCAACTCCCATCAGGAGCCCTCTTATTTTTCATCCTTTTCTGTAGCTCCTCTTCACTTCATCATATGGCTTCTTTGAGAATGACTGACTAGGAAGCCCCTCAGCAAGAGTTCCCTCAGTTGGGGAAATGTGGGCTTCTCCGTCCTTATTCTCCCTCGTCACCTCTCTTTGCTAAGCTCCACTGTAGGCTCATTGGTGACCCTCAGAAACTATTCAGTGGCCAGTGTTCCCATGTAGATCCAGTCACTTTGGAGACTGGAGGCCTCACAGACTTTTCGAGTTAGGAGTGAAATCCCCTAATAATGAGTCGGCCTCTAACAGACATAGTCACGCTGTGAGTTAGTGTATCCTGTAGCAGGTTAGCAGATCCTACCCTCATCTCACTAACTAGTTCATGGAAAGCTGATAAGACGCATGCCCTCTTTATCCCCAGGTGTAGGGGAGTTCTTGTGGGTGCTGTTACATGTTTGCAAACTCTGGCTTTTGTGTCGGCAGCTCTCCTGCTACCATATCCAACAGCCAACCTAGTACTGGATGTGGTGATGCTTCTCCTTTACCTTGGCATTGAAGTAATTCGACTGTTTTTTGGTGAGTGTTATCCAGAGAATATTTCCATTCCTTCTCAGACAGACTTGATTAGCTTGATTAACAAGAACAAGTACATAACCTAGTCTCACAATAAGAGATTGGATCTGGTGGAATGTCCCATTACTCCCTCTCTGAAGTTTCAAGCTGCTTCATATTTTGGGTCAAGCTTTACTTGTTGTTGCTCTGTAGGGCCAGAGGTGGGCAGTAGCATGATATTTTAGATAGTTCCTTCCTAATTTCCTAAGTGCTAGGAGAGCCTGGTTCCTCTCACTGGCTTGCTTGGGAGAATAGATTTGACTGTAACCCCACGTTCAGGGCAGTATGTCACACAAGTTGGCACTTAGGTCCCCTCCACTCTCTGAACAGGGATTTCTTAGGACACTTTTTTTTTTTTTAAGACTGTATTTATTTATTTGACAGAGCAGAGCACAAGTAGAGGGAGCAGGCAGAGGGAGAGGGAGAAGCAGGCTCCCCGCTGAGCAGGGAGCCCGACATGAGGCTCAATCCCAGGCCCCTGGGATCATGACCTGAGCCGAAGGCAGATGCTTAACCAGCTGAGCCACCCAGGCGCCCCTAGGACAAGTTTTTTATCCTCACAGATCCAGAGCAAATTCATTATTAGTTAGAATATCTTATCCCAGAAAACAGTGTTAAAACACAAGCTGAGAAGAAACAGTATTTGCAACACATGTAACAAAGGATAAAGAAGGCTCACATAAGTCACTAAAGAAAAGATGACCTAATTTTAAAAATTGGTAAGGGACACTAATAGGCAGTTCATATAAGAATAATTACAGAGGATCAGAAATAATGATAAAATGCCCAAACTCATTAATAAAAAGCAAATTGAAACAACAAAATAACAGTTTCATCCAGCAGATTAAAAAGATTTCCAAATACCCAGTATTAGAATGGGTGTGAGGACCAGGTCTCTCTATTCCCACACTCTTTGGGAATATAAATTAGAACAATTGTTTTGCTAATAGTTTTGCCATGTAAAATTTGTATTTTTTTTTTTTTAAGATTTTATTTATTTGAGAGAGGGAGGGCATGAGTGGGGTCAAGGGGCAGAGGGAGAGAATCTCAAGCAGATTCCCCACTGAGCACAGAGCCTGATGCAGGGCTTTATCTCACAACTCTGAGATCATGACCTGAGCTGAAATCAAGAGTCATACACTCAAATGACTGAGTTACCCAGGTGCCCCTAAAATTTGTATTCTTAGTCCTGACAATTACACATCTAAAACTGGTTGAAAAAAACAAACACTTCTACAGATAGCAAAGGTACCTATTGGAGAAAGCTTATGGCCACGTATTTTGTAACATCAAAACATTAGAGGGGCCCCTGGCTGGCTCAGGCGTGGAGTGTGCCACTCTTGATCTTTGGGTTGTAAGTTCAAGCCCCATGTTGGGTAGAGATTACTTAAAATACAAAATTTAAAAAAAAATTAAATTAAAAAAAAACATTAGAGGGGCACCGGGGTGGCTCAGTCAGTTAAGTGTCTGACTTCAGGTCAGGTCATGATCTCAGGGTCCTGGGATCGAGCCCCACGTCGGGCTCCCTGCTCAGTGGGGAGTTTGCTTCTCCCTCTCCCTCTGCCCCTCCACCCCCCATAGTGATCTCTCTAGCTCAAATAAATAAATAAAATCTTTTAAAAAATTGGAAACAGGGTGCCTGGGTGGCTCAGTTGGTTAAGCGACTGCCTTCAGCTCAGGTCATGATCCTGGAGTCCTGGGATCGAGTCCCGCATCGGGCTCCCTGCTCGGCAGGGAGTCTGCTTCTCCCTCTGACCCTCCTCCCTCTCCTGCTGTCTGTCTCTCATTCCCTCTCTCAAATAAATAAATAAAATCTTTAAAAAAAAAAAATTTAAAAAAATTAAAAAATTGGAAACAACTAAACATCTGTCAATACAGGATTAGTTAAATTATGGAATTGCCTCAATGAAATCATCCATAGCCATTAATAAAAGAATAGGGTAGTTATACGTGGAAAGATGTCTAACTTAAATGGGAAAAAATAAGTTGAAAACAGTATGTAGAGTATGATTCTGTTTTTATAATAATAAGTAGTAATATGTAAGTATATACACATAAAAAAATCTGAAGCAATATATACCGTTCTGTAATGATGGCTCTCCAGTGGGGAGTCATGGGGCCTTTTAGTTTCTGTATATTCTAAAATTATTTTCTGTACCTATATTAGTTGAAAAGTTTTCAATGATTATATATTATAATTAAAAAAATATTTTCCCCAAGTAAATAAGTCGCTGTCCCTTGAGTGGGAGCCACACTTGAAGCAGGACCTTTGGAGTGAATGACTCCATCCTGTGGCACCTCCAAAGCCTCTCATTTTTAGCACAGTGGGACCCCATTTATAAATCTGCCCATCCCCATTCAGCATCATTTTTCTCTGCCTTGCCAGTCCATCCCATCCCATCCCATCCCCCCAACCTTTTCTCTGAGTCCAGGGAAAGCAGGCCACCTGGAGATGACTCCATGGGCTGTGTCTGACAGGTACAAAGGGGAACCTCTGCCAACGAAAGATGCCACTTGGTATTAGCGTGGCCTTGACCTTCCCATCTGCCATGATGGCCTCCTATTACCTGCTGCTGCAGACCTACGTGCTCCGCCTGGAAGCCATCATGAACAGCATCTTGCTCTTCTTCTGTGGTTCAGAGCTGCTGCTTGAGGTGCTCACCCTGACGGCTTTCTCCAGGTACCGCGCTGAGGGACCATTTCCTGCCACCTGAGGGTTGGGTTCCCATCTCATCCTAGGGAGGGACTCATTGTTCTTCTGAAGCCTGAGGGGTCTGAAGGACTTTCAAGGGGAAAAGGGGTGCCCGTGGGATTGCTTTTCTTATTCAGGGTAGACAGTTACTCAGGGAAGACATTTTCCTTGTTCTCTGGGGCCAAGAAGCTTGGAATATAGAACAGTTCAGACCAGCTGCTCTTGTTCACTGGTCTTTTAACGTTTTCTTTCTTTCTTTCTGCCATCAGTATGGACAGGATTTGAAGTACAAACACTGCAGCCAGCAGCCCTCATGGGCTGAGACCACAGATTCTTCTGGTCTTTAGCCCCACCAGTGAGAATTGGTGGGTCAGGTTGTCCTGGGAACGGTTGCAGCTTTTCCTCAACACAGACATTTGGGCAACAAACTGAGCGTGAGGCCACTGGGCATCATATTCTAAACCAGGACCATCAGCCTAAGAGACTGTTGTACACTCCAGTGTAGGGAGGGGCAAGGCCGGCCCATCCTGGCCCGTCTCAGAACCAGTTCCCTGCTGAGCTCCAGTTCTTTGATCCTCGTGGCCAGAGCATCTTGTGTGGACCCCGTAGGCTCCTTGGGCTTCCAGCAGGACCAGAGCCATATACCCCCCGTAGGTGCTGTGCCAGCCGTCATACGAGCACAGAGAGCCTCGGGATGGTCTGCTCCCAGGGTGATGCACAAGCTTGTCACCTTGTTCCTCAGAGACTGAGTTCCAGAACTTTTTTAGCAGCTCATAGTGTTATTTTTCTATTCTCATCGTGAAACAAACATTATTTTATTTTATAATAAACGTGTATTTTCTGTCATTGGAGTTGCAGCCTTTTCCTTATGGCACCTGTCCCTAGAATTTCACTGCCTCCAAGGGAAGGTAGGGACTCTCCCCGCGGTTGGTTCTCAGGCTGTGCTGAGCGATTCTGTGTGGACACAAAAGCAGTGATGATTTTCTTACTCCAGCTCTAGCCTGAATTAATCCCTAAAGGCACTGCCAACTTCTGTATCTTCTTCAAGCCTGTCATCCTAAAAGCCTGCTTATATTCTTCACCTCTGCCTCAAAGCCAGCATCTTTTCTTTCATTCCTCCTACAGATCATTGTCAGCTTACCAGAATGAGGCATGAATACTTGGAAGAAGCATATTCAAAACTTGCCAGTATTTTTTGGTCATTTATTTTAAAATTTCAAGTTAACGTAAAAGGAAACATACTTTCTTCCCTTCCTTCCTTTCTTCCTTCCTCTTTTTCTTTCTTCCCTTTCTTTCTTTCCCTTTCCTTTCCCTCCCCCTCTTCCTTCCTTCCTCCCTCCCTCCCTTCCTTCCTTTTCTTTTCAGCTGGAGAAATACTGCCCTACATGCATATATCATTTCCTTTTCCAAGTAACCGTCTTTAAAACTTCCTCATCTTACTCAATAGTGGCTTTTTTTTTCTTTCCTCCCAAGAAGCCACCAGGAGCCATGACAGAATCCATTTTAGAAAACCTTGAGCCATATGGTCCCTCTGCTGTCAGATGAATATCTGCTCTTGCTCAAAGTCAAAAGTTAATTGATCTTTAAGCATTTCCATGCTGGCTTTTAATTCTCCTTGTTTCCTGTGATCAAGCTCATTCTCATCCTGTGAAGGTCTCCACTGTCCAAAGCACTTACCATCTTTCTTGTTTCCTACCCCTTCTGTGTCCTTGCCTCCTGGCTGCTTTTGGAGTCTATCCAAAAACTATAGTAGACAGGTCTAATCCACCATGAAACAGTGAAACCGTAACAAAAAATCCAGTTGGAACCCCCTTGATATTTCAGTGACAAACCCCGCTAATCCCCTGACTTTCTGCTGCTCACACTGCTGCTTTCTCTAGCGGCGCTTTGAAGAAGTTGTTGGCATCAAGCTAGACAGGGACTTGTTCTCCATGGCCGCCCATTTCTTTTAGAGGTTCAGTGGTTACAGTCACTCTCCTGGCAACACAAGATAAATGAATGCAAGGCTCAGCTGGAAGTTTAGAGGTGGCTTATAATTAAAAGGGAACTTAGAAAGGAATCTAATCCCCCACTTTGCAGGCTTAGAGACGAGAAAGGAACAGCCAAGCATCACACAACTGGTTACTAACAGTTGGATCTAGAAATCTTGTCTTCGGAGTCTCAGTCTAGATCAAGTAAATTCTACTCCCCAACAGGTACCACTTAAGGAGAATGAGTGGTTGGAAATGAGGACAGAATTAGAGCAGGAAGTCCTCTCATTTATTTCCTGGTTCTCCGGGAGCTTAATGCATTGTGCTTCCTGTGGATGGCTCCACGGATGTTCATTCTTCCCGGTGCTTGCTGGAGCCACACGTGCAGGTGTAGTCACCCCAGAATAAAACATCATACAACAGAAACTGAGGCAGCAGGGGATGGGAATGAGCATAGCTAGTCTTTCAGGGTTAATGTGGTCAGATGCTGTATTTGAAGTCCAAGGGAAGTCACTTTACTGCCCATCTAGACCTGAAGGATCAATATTCTGGAACCGTGGAGAGGGATCTGAGTGAAGGAGTAGGGCTTGGTCACATGGGCTGGTAGAGACCTGCTCAGATATTCACACTCATGGCTAGAACTTGACAAGTGACTGCGGTGGCCATCTCTAGAGGCTGAGGTCTGGCCCAAATCAGGAAGCACTTGGGACACACAGATTGGGGTTTCTGGCTCTGTACCATGACTGCAATGTATAGGAGACTAATGTTCATCCAGTGCCTGGCAGAGTAGGTTTAATCCATACCGTGGTCCTGTGAGGCAGAAGAAAATCAACTCGAATGTTAAGTCACTTCCTGTCTGAGGGCATTTAGCTTAAAAAGTAAGAGTTGGGATTTGAACCAAGAGTAACCCAAAGGTCATTCCCTTTCTGTTCCACTATGGTAACGCTTCGATGAAGAATGTGTTGCCTTCTCTAAACTACCAGTCCTCGCTTTAGTTTACATGAAAGTCATCTGGGGACATAAAAAGTGGATTTCTAGACTTCATGTAGAAGTGGACGCAGCCCAAGAACAGGAATTTTAGCAAGCATAGCACGGGACCACGGAACTTGCCTTGAGAGCCCACTCCTATTTCCCTCACACTGTGCATTGTCATAGAGATTCTGGGCCCCCGGAAGGTTTCTTGTTTTTATGCTGATCTTGCCTTTGCAGGTCCCAATACACATTACGTATCACCTGATCTCTGGTTCATCTTTTTATACATGTAACTCTCCTCTTGGCTCAGCTGGCTTTTTGAAAAGCCAGAAGCTTTCTGGAATTCCAAGGAGCTCACCCACAACTCTCTCCTAAACTTCCTAATCTGTACTTCCCGATGTTCAGACAGCAACCCAGTTCCCAAAACATGTTCACATTTGCTGATTTTCTTTTTTTAAAGATTTTATTCATTTATTTGACAGAGAGACACGGCGAGAGAGGGAACACAAGCAGGGGGAGTGGGAGAGGGAGAAGCAGACTTCCTGGTGAGCAGGGGGGCTCATTTCAGGGGGCTCAATCCCAGGACCCTGGGATCATGACCTGAGCGGAAGGCAGACGCTTAATGACTGAGCCACCCAGGCGCCCGTACTCTTTCAGATTCTTAAAACACCGCTGTGTAAAAGGCAGAATAGCTACTGTTCTCAGCTCAGTTAGGTTATGCTGTTCACCCCTCCCAAGCAGGCACTGGCAAGCGTATTTCCAGACTCCGAGCAGAGGAGTCTTCCCTTCCTGGATTTGAGAACTTCAGAACTGAACTGTAAGGGGAGGACGTTTACTCGGAGAATGAATCTTAGGAATCCTGAAGGACAAAGGACAACTTGGAATTTTTCTTCCCTTAGTTTAGATGGCCAAGGAAGCAAGCTAAGCCTCAAGGGTGCACTTCCAAAGATCTGCACTAGAGGCCCCCTAGTGTCCCGCAGGCCACGCGGGCCACCACACGCCCGACCTGGGATTCCAGCTCAGAACTCAGGGGCTTCAGTGTCATCCCACAGCCTCTACATCAGCCCCGGCCCATGTCCCAGACACCTCAACAAAGCTATTCAATGCAGAATCCATAAAACAGCTCACACCCCATTTATTATTTAAAAATATTTTGTTACAAAAGGAAAAAAAATACAATGCAGTATAAAAGATTGACAGCGTCATCAAGTTTATTACACAATTTTCAACCTATCAGAAAGACAAACAGATCACCGACAACAGGGGGACGGGGCCTCGGCCTTTTTGAGGGCTGGGTTTTTTTTCCTTTTGCTATCAGGAAATAAAACTAAAATTTGTGTCATTGAGTAAAAACAAAACAAAAATGGGGAGAAAAAAATTCTCCGGGTAAACGGCTTTTCTGGTATTCTATATATTTTTTTTCCTTAAACTGTCACCGTACTCCGTTTTCTCTACATTTTAAAAAGACACCCGGAGCTGCTCTCGAGGATAAGCACATCACTTAACACTTGGCCAGTTGGGCGGGGGGCCATGTTCTGAAGTGGAGGTGGGGATGGGGCTGGGGACAGGGGAAAAAAGCTACAAACGTGTAGCCTCTGTCCCAAGGGAATATGCCTGTCCAACCGTGGGGGGGACCCCCCTCACTGACTGACTGAGGGCTTCGTCAGATACGTGCAGGGAACAGAGGAAGGGTTCAGTCCAACTCAGTCTCTTCCATCTGAGCCAGAAGGGTCTCCAGTGACCCTACCGTCTCACATGCCACGTCTCTCCTCCTGCTAGGTGTCATATGCCCTGTACGTGCACGCGGTAGCGCAGGACCGCTGCGGCCGCCATCCACAGCAACCACACCACAACTTGGATGTTAGGGGAAAAGCAATTCCATTTGCCTGTGTAGAAAATGCCCCCAGAGTGGTGGTCCTTAGAACTCTGAGCTGAGCTCATCTGAGTCAGGCTCCACTTCCTCCTCACTCCTCATCAGAGGCAGGAAGCACCTCCACGTAGAGTGAGGGGAACTATTAATACGTCAACAGTCAAAAGGTGGAAAGACACCAAATCTGTGACTTCACCTGCCTACTAGTGCCAGGTTCTCCCACAGTTAAGTAAAATACGTATGTACCTGGGGGATGCAAGCCCATGCTCACATCGAACCTGAAAACAGAAAAGCCTCTATGGAAGTAGGCCACAGCTTGCCCAGCCTGCCTCCTTTCCCACCCCTCCTGGTAGTTCACAAGGGTTCTTCAGTGCTGAGGTCCGCTGTCTGTCCCCGTCTCCCAAGGGCAGTAGCTTCCTCTAAAACAAGGAAGCAGCCTTCCTGGGGGAGGGGCTCCACGTGTGAAATGGAAAAGCCCCAAGAAAGGGAACACCTAGTACAGCTGGTTATTGCAAGAGGCAACCAAGCACGAAGCAGCAGAGGGTGGTAACTGGCTCTGCCGGGCTCCCCAGCAGCAAGCAACCTCAAGGGCCTTCTTTGCTTAGGAGGGGCAAGTCCACTGAGGCGTCTGGGCAGCAGGGAGGTGGAAAGGTTCAGCCCTCTGGGAGGTCAGGGAAACGAACCGTCAATATGTAAGAGGGAAAAGCAAGAACAGGAGAAGCTCCTCCTAAGGGAATTTCTGTTCTCAGGGTCCCTCCTCCTCAAAGGGCTGGGAAGGTAAAGGAGTTAAACAAAGAAGTGGTATGTTAGCAAGGGGTTTGGACCCTCTTGGCCCCATCAAACCTAGTGCTGAGGGCAGGACCCTGGGCATATTTTGGCACACCCAGTCACTCTCCTAGATCCTGCATGGAGGATCCGTTTTCTTTGGGAAGAAAGTCTTCCCATCAACCTCACCACCGAACTGCTCCTGGAGAATCAGAAACTCCTACGTTTCCTTGGACAAAGCACCATTCTCTATGGAGACCAGGGGCCTGGACATGTTTTCTTCCTGTCTGCCACCCCTCCCAACCACACAAAGTCTTTAGGTTCCTTCCCCTGACAAACAGGAGGTGTGGGATTGGGAGGGCTGCCAGGCAGTCTTCAATCCTGTAGGGCAGAGGGTATTCCCTGGGTGTCTGAAGGGGGCTAGGGGCTTGGAGGAAGGGGGAGGGGTGGAGTGGCCTCCGTCCTTTAGTCCTGATCAAGGTGAGGAGATGCAAGTCCATTAAAAAAACATTTGCTTCCAACCAGACTCCTGCAATGAGAACATCAGAAGAAAAAGAAAATACACGTTAGAGGTTACCTTCTGACTGATGGGCTTACTCAAATTACACTGGCATTGTCTAAAGTTAGAATGTATGAAGTAGAATATATACACAGACAGAATGCAAGCCTGGGAAAGTGAAGGAAAGAAAGCAGGATTGTCTGGGGGTGTCTGGCACTGTGCGCAGTGAGGGAATGGTTGCAGGAGCTATAGTGAATAGAGAAAAAAGCAGTGACATCTCACTTTAAGGTTAGGGGGAAACAGACAATGAAATGAAGTCTCAAAGCAGTCTGACTGAAAAGGAGACTTTGGCTGGAGAAGTATAGAAACTACAACAATCCAAAAAGAGTTGCAATAAGGAAATATGGGGAGTTGAAATACCATTTCAGAAAATCTGTTCTGAGCAAGTCAGAGCTTACCTTAAGGGGAGGGGTAAAAATCTGGAAATGGGAGGTACAATGGTAAGAAAACAAATGTGCACATAACCAAACCCATTAACCCCCAAACACCCAAGAGGCCCTAGCAGGGAGCACGTACTTACACAGGAAACTCCTCAACTTTTCTTTTCAGGAAGCCTTGTTTAAAACACTCCAAACAGTGTCCTTAGAGTACGTGTGCATGCACACACACAAAGAGCTGGGAATGTTCTAACCTCTACTGAAAGTCAAGGGATTCTAAATCTTTCCCCAGACAACAGCTTTGAGTAAGGGATCAAGAAACAGCCTAATACCACAAAAGTGTTATCTGGCCAGGCCAGAAGAGAAGGCAGAGCATGGAAATAAAAAAACCAGTAGTCCCCGTTCAAGAAACCTAAAAGCACAATTAAGAACTTCTGCCAAACAGGAAGGCACTGTTAAGCCACTTACCACATCTCTACCAAACTTAAGGTCCCTAGTACGCCCAGCCCTTTTGCAGTGTTGCAGCATCAGTAAGCCGGGGAGCAGCCCGGTCAATCTGACTGCATGCACAGAAGAGAATTAATAGCTAACAGGAAAAAGGGAGATTAAATCCAGGTTTAGGACTTCTACTAATGGCCAAACCCACAACATAGCCTACACACAAATGCTCACTCTTTACGTATGCTCGTCCGTAACCTGGAGGAGCTATCCAAGAAAAAAACATCCCCAAGCTGCCCGATCCTTCAATATTCTGAACTGGCACTGTTTAATCTTGGGCTCCTCAGAATCTGTTACAGAGGCTGCTGCCTTCTGGCTTCTCTAAACACCTATGCTGGCAGGCGTTTGTCTCATTCTCTACGGGGGAAAACTGAAGCCCTCAGTGCCTCTCCACTTCACACCATTTGGGTTTTTGAATCTTTGCACCAGGAGGAAAGGAAATGAGGTGAGAATGATTAGATCTTAAGTAGGATAATATCCTCAAATAATAAGCCAAGAGCCGAGAACTACAAGAAGTTGAAGCCAAAGCCACACATTACCTAAGGATATCCTCAAATTTCAAAGCCTACACACATACTCCAAAAGAGATATAATTTGGGAATTGTCCGTACAAAACAACAAAGGAGAACTAGTACATCAAAAAAAGTCAACTGTAGCACCCAATTCTTAGAACTTGTAGTTACATTTGGTGGTAATGTTTGGATGCAGGCAGAAGCCAAAGTGGCCGATGAGACTCTGTGCCCCAGTGGTGCTGCCCACCCTGAGAAGAATGGAAGAAAAGCTTGCTGTTTGTATTGCTGCCTCTAGACGGAACACACCTTTTGGCTCTTAGGGAACACCATCCATACAATACGAACACTAGTATTTTCTAACTAAAACGTGTTGTACACAGAACTTGCACAGTTCTCCAGCTAAATGGGCCCAAGTACCATCTCCCCAACATGAGACCTCCTACCTCACAACTTGGTGACTACAGATAGAATGCAGAGTCCTTAAGATGAGGATGTGAGAAACTGACATTTTTGGGGTGTCTGATTCAATTCTTTTGGACTAGTTATTTGGATGGAGTAACATATCTAAAGAATAAAAAATGGGGACCTGGAAAACCTGTTTCAGAGTTCCTTTTCCTCCTCGTCACAGGCCCGCACCAGCCAAATGACTGTTTTCTGGGAACTACTGGGTTATAGGTTCTTCAGAGTTATCCAAAGTGCACCACTCTCATAATGGAAAAACAGGCCCACTTTACAGGTAGAAGAAATGAAGCAAAATGACAGCTAATGTTTCAGGTTCAGATGTTCAATCCCCAAAGTACTCATTATCAGTGGATCTCACAATTTCTCTGTCAGAAGGCTGTTAGAAGCAAAGCCACCAAGAATGGCGACATGCAGTTATATGTTCTAACTGCTAAAGGGAATGTGGCCCCAGAGACTGTCATTCATCCTCTGCACAGACAAGTACCTCCCTGGTCACTATTCTAGTCTTTTCCACTCTGAAGGACCCACACTGTGAGCAGCAGGGTTAGGGAAGGGGTGGCACCTGACCCACAGCAACACTAGCAACTGGGCCAGCTCCAACAAGAGCCGGGAGACGCTGCTACTGCCACAGAAGGGGGGACAGGGACAGAGGTCTACCCTAGTGCCCGCCCTCCCGCCCACTCCGAGGCTGAGCTAGGCCAGAGCTATTTGTGAGCCCCATCTCCCCCAGCGTCCTGGAGATACATGGGTATCTCCCCCAACTCCACTTGTTGCGAAATCTAGAACCCACAGCCTAACTGTTGATTTTACATGGATTATCTTAGATTTCAGTGATGTCAAGCACTCTAATATTTTGTGGAATAAATGAGTGGTTTAAGAACAGAGAAGGAAAGCAGGTAAAAAAAATGGTAACTTTTCATTTTCCCACTCATTCGCCTCCTAAAGAAGACAACAAAACGAAATTTCCAGCTATAACTGCTTATATTAATGGCAGATAATGCCAAACAACAAAGTAGAGTGCAGCAGGAAAATATAAAAGAACTCCTTTCTTTTAGTAGGCTGTCAGTAGGCCAAATGCTGCACTTGCCGACTGTTTAGGGTCCAGCTACTGCTGGTGAACTATAGGCATTCCCAGGTAGTGGCAGGGTCTCTCTTCTCGTCTTCAACCAGTCACCACCCACCTAGCCCCTAGCCACCTGAGAGCCGTTCCTAATCCTCACCCTCCTGTTCAGTTACCATTACTTCAGATCAACCAAATTGGCAAAAAAAACACACACAGAAAAACAAAAAACAAGGACATCTTCATAACACACCTGATGTGAAACCAAAGTCGAGAAGAGACTCTAAAGTCATCTGGGTCATGCAGTAGCTTCTAGGAACCACAAACAGATCATCCTAGCCAGAGTCTAGACTACTTTTAAAGGTCTCCAGACATACAGAATCAAAACCACTCTTGCTTACTTGTATACTAGAAACAATCTTTGCTGGAAGCTTTCTTTCAGTTGGGATAGCTAAATTGGTGGGATATAATGATGGGGCTGAAACGATGGGGCTGCTGTCGCCTTCCCCCCTCTCCTCCCCCACCCCAACCACTGAGGCCTGTCTGAGGAGGAAGACTGAGAAAAAGCAGAGCTGGTGATGCGGAGGGGTTAAGTCCTGAAGACACAGCTGGAGCCCCTGGATGCAGCCAAGCCTAACTCAACTTCTCCATAACCTGAGTTAATATAGTTCCCCTCACAACTCTTCTGCTTTTGTTTTGCCAAAAAAAAAAAAAAAAATCGCTGTAAGTTTTTTGTTCCCCGAACAAATATATCCTTCCATTGAAGTATCCTCCACACAGTCTCTACATTATTAAATATGATTTTTTTTTTTTTCCACATCAGCTTTCTCCTAAAGTGTCCTGAGTTTCAAAGTCCCTTTAATAGATGCTAATTCTTAAAATCATCAATGTTGCGCCTCAAAAACTAACAAGTAGGCCATGGTCTTACTTTTTTGTCTTGGTCGGTTTCCTGAAAAAACCTTGAAAGTTTAGTGGGGTGAAAATATAATTGGCTATCATCTACTGAGAACTTGGTATGTAACAAGTACCATGAGTGCTGAATGCTCTGGATGGACTGTCGCACTGCATTCAGCGAGACAGCTGCTCTTACCATGTTCGTTTACAAATGAGGAAAACTGAAGAGCAAAGTAACGCGGCCTGCATCACTGTGCTCTCAGCCCGGATGCCATGCTGTCTCTTGGACACCAGGTTAAGGCAGACAAGACACAAACAAAACCAGCTCAATCTCAGGTCCATTTCAGGGCGAGACTTCTCCAAACCTGCCCTCCTCAATTTTCTGTTACCTAAGTCAAAAAGTCCTCCCTTTCCCTTTATTTGCTTTAGCAAGAGAGAGCAGGATCTTCACGATCAGTACTTTTTCTTTTATAAAAGATGGCCCACAGCCAGGAGCGGGGCTTCGTCCCACCTTTCTCAGTGGTGCCGGTCCCGTTCTCTATCCCGGTGTCTCTCGTGCTCCCGGTTCCTTTCTTGGAAGTAATCATCATGCCGCTCTTCGTTATGAAGCAGGTCCCGGTGCCTCCTACTGCTCTCCCGGGACCGGCTAGGCGACCGCTCTCGGGACCGGTGTCTCTTCCTATTAGAAAGATCCTTCAGCCTCACTCAGAGGACCTACCACATGCCTTCCAAGAGTGTTGTGTTTCGGTGTCTTCCAGTACTTGTCTGAACCACTTTTCTATGATGGGCCCAATGTCTGAGAATGTTAGCTCTTTGACGCCTAGTCTTTTTGGGGAAAATCGTTAAGTCAAATGTGTTGAGGTCTTACTAATGTATCAGGCACAGTGCTAGGAGCTTTACATGCTTATCTCACCCAATCTCTACAACAGGTCCATCAGAGAAGTACCACTCTCGTCCCTTTTTTTAAAAATGAGAAAAATGATACTTAGAAAGCTGAGTGATTGCTATACTCAAAGCCATACAAGTACTCGGGAGCAGAACTGGGATTCGAATCCAAGCCCGTATGGCTTCAAAGCCCACGTTCTTAACTACACCGGTCTATCTACTCCTAAATAGCCCACTGCCTCACCCAGCACGGACTGCAGACATTACAACATTTGTTAATGCAGATGCTTGGTTAATTCCTTCCCCTTAAAGACATCAGGGCGAGCCTGCTCTTCCAGCCAGGGTCTTGCCAGATCCCCTGGGCTCTCTTCCTCCCCCTGCCAATCCCTGGAAGAGTGCTGCTCGGGGCTGGTAGGCCGCTGGAGCAACCGACAACTCACCTGGACGAGCTCCCGCTGGCACCCACACTGTAGGACTTGGCTTCAATGCCATGAAGACAGTCCTTAAGAGAGGAGATGAGGACACGGCAACGCTCATCATTGGCGACCCGGGACTGTTTGATAACAGCAATGGCTGTGAGCAGCGTCTCAATCGCGTCACTGTAATCCCCTGACAGGGGACGGATGGGAAAGGCCAAGGATGAGCAGAGGCAGTAAACTAACTGGATCAAAAGGAGAACTCAGGAGGACACAAAGCAAGAGTAACTAGTTCCCACAGAACCATGGTAAGATGGATGAGGCTTAAGTGGCAGGTGTAAAAGTGGACGGCACCTATATTCCAACAGTTTGCAATCAGACAGGTTCTCCGATGTTGCTAGTGGACATGCAAACCAGGGCAGGGCGGTCTGAGGGTGATCTGACAATACCCATCACAATAAACAATGTGCATACTTTCTGACCCAGCAATTCTAAGAATGTCCTACTTCTGTTCACAAGTATGTATGCTTAACAATGTTACATTTCAGCATTATTTTATCAAGAAATCAGACATAAAGTTCCTTCAGCAGGGTGCTATAATAAATTATGGGACATTGGTTTTATAAAATACTACATAGTTGTTAAAAAGCACACGATAAATCTGTAGGTAAACAAAATAATCCACATAAAGCGCTTAGCACAGTGCCAGGCACACAGTAAGGGCTCAATAAATATTAGGTACTATTTATACTGACAGATGTCCAGATTATATTAATTTCTAAAAATCTGTAAAAACACTATTCCGTTTTTGTAAAAATAATAAAAATTATATATATGTTGTCATATGCACAGAAAAAAAAATCTGAGGGACAGACACTAAATTGTAGAAGGTGGTTTTGGTGGTGGTCCTTGTATAAAGGACTTTTATTAATTACCACTGCACATTTCTAAGTCTGAATTATTTTAAATCTGTCATCAAATGCGTGTACACATATATATAATGTGTATCTAACACGTCTACGTGTGGAGTGTATTTATATATTTTTTTTAAATTACGCTGCCATCAAGAACTAGCCCCCTTCATTCCCCAAAGGGGAGCAATGCCTGGCTCAGGGATCGTGGTCAGGGGCTGGGTACTTGCACAATGCTTTTCCAAGCTAAATCAAGCGCATTACAGACAGAAGATAATGCGAGGAAAGCATAACATCAGACAGGGGTCCAGTGATGAGGACTGGCTGCCTCCTCTGTGCAGGGCAGCAAGAACAGAATGGAAACTGTGCAGGAACTGGGATTCTGTGGAAGTCCAGGAACACCGGGATGTCAGCTCTATTGGGGTAGGGACTTTTTGCTTATTTTGTAGGCATTCAATAAGTATTTGTGGTTTGAATGACTGGAATGAGAACAACAAAAAGGGAGACAGAGATTCAGTTACTGATCATCTCAAAGTGAAGGAGTTGGTAAGGAAGTACAATGACTATTTCCTTTATACTCCTCTGTATATTGGACTTGTTAAAATGAGCACAGATTACTTTCTAATTAAAAATCCTTCAGATGTCAATGAAAGTTTTCTGGAGGAAAAAAAAAAAGAGAGAGAATACATGTATTTCCTGTCTTTAACCTACTCTGTGGATTCAAATTTTGCAGCCAAAGATGAGAAATTACAGAAAACAGATGGTAATATTTAGTGTTAACTTATTTCTTAGGAGATCTGACAGTCCCCATTTACATTAATGTGGGACACTCACAAGAAGGAAGCGAATATGACTCATATCATAATGTGAAACTTGGACCAGAACCCTATAAAGAACCAAAGATTCCATGCCAGGGCTCTCCGAGTCACAGCTCCTGGTTCTGCCCACTTAATACTGACAGCAGAGCAAGAGTTAGCTGTAAGGGCACATTATGTCTTTCGATGACACCCAACAGACTTGCCCCTTTCTAGGATAGGCTACAGGCAGGCCAGAAGTTCTGTCTAGACCCCCAAATATAAAGAGATTCCATATCAAACCACATCTAGTTGGGGCATCAGTCCTAAAAAACCTGGGATCTACACTAGGCACTACACAGACAATAGATCCACTGATCAACTACTGAGACCTCCACAAAGCCAGGAATTTCATTCTACAACAAATACTACAATAAGATATTATTAGTTATTTATAATCTAGTCACTAAATTTGTTTTCACGGGGCAGGTCTGGATACAAGCTAAATAAATAACACCCTGGAGAGTCCCTGAAGCCACACAATCAGGTTACATACTACTCAAAAGGTGCCACTCTAGAGAATCTAACAGTGTGCTCAAACTTTATCTAGTTGAACTTGCCAACGGAAATGAGAAGACACGAAAGAACTAAAGGTAAGGAGAAGACAGCAAAGGTAAGCGTGAGTTACCTGCACTGGCTCCAGATACCGCTTTGGAAATGGCACTGCTGGAAATTGCTCTATTTCGCTTCATGATCTCTTCAAATTCTGCTTCACTCACTGTGGAGGGCGGAGGGCCCGAATCTCGGCTGCACAGAAATAACACCGTTCCTGATTGCCCGCACCTCTCATCATCTTTACCATATCCTACAGTACATTGTTACTTAATCATGCTCTCCTCTATGATGTCTTAAATGGTTCTTAGCCTGCTGACATTTTATGTGTTCACATTCTCTTCAAGGACAGGATTTACAACATATTCTTTTGTAATTCTGGCGTGACCCAATAGCGCTAGACATTCACAGCATCCCTAACAGCCACATACAGCCCTCGATTTAATCAAGATCCTTAAAGAGGAATATGAAAGACACGGTTTGGGTCAAGAGACTTAGATGCAAACGAAACACCAAATAAAAAACATTATCTAACAGATGGTTAACTATTTCCCAGGACTCAACACTACGACAACAGAGTTTCCACAAGGGAGAACACAAGAATTCACTCACTCACTTCCTCAGGGAGAACAAAATGCTTAACACATGGTCTACCCTACTATACCTGGCTCAGATCTGAAAGGAACAAAATAGTCCTTACCTGCCATGGTGGTTATAGGGTGCTGAGGCCTTCATGTAAGTATCTGGTGGAGGCCCCACTGTAGCATTTGGTGGGGGGAAGAAGGCTGGATTGAGGTGAAGGGCAGGCGGGATGGCCCCAGGGGGAGGTACAGCCAGATGAGGAGGTAATCGAGGAGGAGGGGGCATGAGATGCTGGTAGTGGATGCCAGGAGGAGGAGGAGGGACCCCAAAGCTTGAGGAGAGAGGAGGTGGGGGTGGAATTGGGGGTGGGGGCAGACCCATCAGGGGGAGGGCTGAAGGAGGGCGATTGAAGTAGGGCAGCACACTGGGGGGCTTATCCACACGGGCAGATGAGGGTACAAGGTTGTCAGAGGGCGTGGCCCGTCCATCAGCAGAATCACTAGAATCCCGGGAATGGGCCCGTGGAGGTATTCCTATGAAGCAAAACAGAACTAACGTTACTGCCCAAGGCTTTACACGTACCCATGGGAGCACATCATCTTTCAGCAAGAGTCCTCCGACACCATACTGAAGAAGGCGACAGGCAGCTGAGAAAGAAGGTAAAATCATCTACTCCCTTTTCTTCAGCCTCAGAAAAAAGGGCAGAGGCAAGTTAGTTAAGTCATAATCCCAGAAAGCAGTATCACCCCAATTCCATGTCAAAGAATGATCTTTATCTAGAACTCTTTGTGCTTCACACTTAATTTATCCTTAGATTTGTTTTCTATTTCTAAATGCAGGATCCTAATTAACCCATGAGAAAATGACGCTGTTGAGAAGTATGTTCATTACAGTTCAGCTGGATTCAAGGGGATGTGAAATCACCCGTCCCTGATTAAGAGGTTCAGGGCCTCTCTCCTTAGACCAGTACTATGCCACTGTGCATCTGAAATTTTCTCTTTGCAAAGGCACTTTGGCCAAGGGATTTGGGGTAAGTGAGGGAAGGGCAGGGGATAGATACTTCCTCCATCCACATACCAAAACTGGTCACTGGGATGGGGAAGAGACATACACCACAGAAGACTAGAGGTCAAGTGAGAAAGAGAGAGAAAATGGGAGGTAAGCCAAGACAAGATGTGCTCACAGAATGAGCAGATGGCACAGGTGACAGCAGGGACTCCTAGTAAAAAACAAGCCTCATATCTGGGGAACTCCCACTACATTTCAATGGCCCACACACAGTACCCCACAGGAACATCCCCATAGCACCTTGGTGTGGTGGTATGCACAACAAGGGCTCACACATGCTTGTTTACAACTGGGGACGTGGCTGTCCATTGTCAAATCACTCAGTTAAACTTGTCCACTCTCTCCAATTTAAGTCTACTCCAAGCCTGGTTAATGTGGAATCCAATAGAAGAACATGAGCCCATGGCCTTTGGAGTCTTGGGAGACAGAGAGATGCTGTTAGCAGTCAAATGTGGACAGAAAGGTGAGCGCTCCTTAAACTAACACTTGCTGGTAAACCCAACTCGTTTCAAGCATGGGGGGACCCATCATCTCAGCAACCGTCTTGCTTTCTCCACTGTAGTAGATCACTGGTGCCTATCGTGGCACGCCTGTGCTTCATGTCTCATCCACATGGCAACTTGTTTCTTCCCTGAGTTCTCTCAAACCAAAGAAAGAGGTATTAGCAAGTGGGATCCTCTGAAAGTTAGTCTTCCTCCCAGCTACTCTTCCCACTTCTGCAAGGATTCTGTTTTGTACCTATGGCTACAATCCCAAGAGTAGCAACCATTTTTAGGCAGAGGAAGTCCACCAGCTGCACTTAGTGAATTAACAGAACCCAAGTCTGTCAACGTGACAGAGCAGAAAAACACCAACTCAGTCACCACCATCATTTCAGCAAAGAAAGGGAACACTGAGGAGTAAATAGCTAAGCGGAAGTAGGATGTTATCCCTGATGCAACTGTACATTTATGCAACTTAGGAAAATCAGAAAAGGGTTGAATTATACAAAGGCTCTTAAACAGAGGAACTTGAAAATTCAAGTTGTCAAAGAAAAGTGTGTGCCTTTTAACCCAGAGCAATGAGAGTTCACACTATACCCATCTAGGCTCTCAATCTAGTTAAAAGAACACTTGTTCCTATGCAAGAGAGAAGTGGCCGTATCTCCACCTTCAATAAATCAATACAAGGTCCCAGTGGACCACCCAATTCAGTACAAGGCACTATTTTGAGAGCAGGACCTAAGATGACAGAACGCAGGTGATGACACTTCCCCCCCACCCCCACCCCTCACCCCCACTGTCATAAAAGAAAAGTAAAGGCAGTTGGCTGCTTCAGGCAAGGCCTTGCAGGGTGGCTGCACCTTGTGAGGTCAGGACAATCCAAGGTCTGGTCCTCAGGTTTCGCAGGTTCAGAAACTCGACTTTAACAGTTCACCCAGGGGTGACTGGACCCTAGGAAATTGATTCACGCTAACCAAACTCACAAGAGACTGATTCATAAACCAGAATGCCAATTTATTAATTTACAATGAGAAATATAACTGCCAAGCAGACCGGAATACTTGTGTCGGCTGGTCAGCGCATTCTCTTCCCAGTAGGAGAGCCTAGTTGGGAAACCAAATTAGTATCAGAAGGTGGCTTGGTGAGTACAGAATCAGGACAAAGGGAGTAAAGTGAACTCAAGGGACACTATCATCAAGCTAAGGTAGTATGATGCAGCTTTATCAGTGGGAAATACTTGCCAAGCAAACTAAAATATCAGGTTAACTCAAAGGGCACCCTCTCCCCTGGACAGTGCTGGAGAAACATTGTTAAACTCTTCTTTTCCAGCATTCCTTTTGGTTGATTCCTTACAGAGCACCCTTCCAGCACATGTTTATGACAAGATTATAGCCATCTTTACAAACATTACCTGCATGTTAGGGCAGCTGCTTGTTATTTATAAAGAGCACGTATTATAATTAAGCCCATTCACTATACACTGATTTGTTAGACAAAACCACATAATTTAGAGTTGGCAGGCACTTTAAACATCATGTATCTACTTCAGAGAGGGGAAGAGGCCCTAAGCAGTACAGTGACTTGCCCAAGGTCACACAATTGAGTCAGTGGCAGAACCAGACTATAACCAGAACCTACCTGACTCTCAGCACAGTGCTCTTTTCTGTACACAGCCTCATTTTTGGGTCTACTAATTGAACATGCCACCACCCATAACCACCACCACCCTCCCCCCACCAACTCCTCCACATAGCAGGCAGAACCCACAACACAGAAAACAAACCCACAAACTTGCCCCCCTTCATACAGATGGTCTCCACGTACCCCCTCTTGGGACTCGGACGCACTCACGTTTCCGAGCCTGTGCCTCAAACTGTGACAGGTTCTGCCGGGTGGCCGGCCTCACGTCCACTTTTTCTCCATTAAGAACTTTTCCTGGAAGGAGTTCCAACAATTTGTGGACAGAGTTTTCAGAGGCTACCACCACCTCAGCATACCTTGGGGAAGAAAAATTAAAAATGAGTGAGATATACTAGCCAACCAAGAGAAAAACAAAGAAACTCTCTTCCACTTTTAGTGAAAATGGGTAAAGCAAAAGATACCTTACTAATACAACATACACAAAACTACCATCAACAAAAAGGTGTCAGCCTATAATCTTCCTATTTATCTGGAATCAGAAATCAGCTCTTTTTGCCCCTCAATGTATGGACATTGTTACATTGCAGCTAGGTCCCCATTCTAAGGTGCTCTGCCAAAACCAAGGCAATAACCTGGGCCAGGGGTCGGAGGGATTAAAATCCAGGGCCAAGGGGCACGTGGGTGGCTCAGTCGTTATGCGTCTGCCTTCGGCTCAGGTTATGATCCTGGGGTCCTGGGATCGAGCCCCGCATCGGGCTCCCTGCTCCGCGGGAAGCCTGCTTCTCCCTCTCCCACTCCCCCTGCTTGTGTTCCCTCTCTCGCTGTGTCTCTGTCAAATAAATAAATAAAATCTTAAAAAAAAAAAAAAAAAAATCCAGGGCCAAAATACAGCGTAGACCTGTTATCCTAATGATGACAAACTAAAAGGGGCTTCTCGAATCCAGACCTCACCCTTTGGACTGGCCATTTGCTCGATTCTCTGCAAATTTCAACTCCACCACATCATAGACTCCTATAGAGCGAATAACCTGGATCAGCTGCTGGTCTGTGGTCCACTGGGGCCGGCAAGATGGAAAAGGAAGAAATGTCAAGAGCTACACCCCCTCCCCACCTAGAATGTCCCAAACCCTTTCCCCAAACCTAGGATTCTAGTCACAACCATGACCTCCCACAGAAACCCAAGAGCCCATCAACAGTTCAATTAGTGCAGGCTTTTCTTATTATCCTCACCCACCCAGAATTCCAAAACCCCCCACCCCCTTCCCAATCCCCATCTTTTGAGATTAAGAAAATTAAAACCTACTTTAACTTTGACTGCCATTTGGGCTGGCGGGTCATCAGTTCAAACAATGATTACTAACGGCTTTTAATTACAGACCTGACAGGCTACAGTTTGACGACTGTCAGGAACTTTCCCCTCAGTACGTACATTTCCTAATTTGGACCCTCCCTCCACCAGCCCCAAAACTTGTCTGTCACACAAGAACTTTTGCAGAACAACAATGACCACCTACCCTGAGTGTACTAGAACTATCAAGGTCTTTGATCCCTGTCACCCACTGTTATCAAAGAACCACTGAATGACCACCAAGAGTTCAAGGTGTTCATTCTAAAATCTCATCCCACAGACGACCCTGCTAGACATAAAGCCCCAGGGTCAGGGGCATTAACAAGATGGCAGAAAAAGCAACTACCCACTTATTGCTTTCTTCGGCACCAGTACGTCCTCAGGATAGTTCTCTTTCAGAGATCAATCCAACCTGATCCCAGGAAAAAGAAATCCAACCCCATCAGAGCACAAAACAGTGCAACAGTGGTTTTTGAAAATGCCATCACCTCCCAGCGCTCTCCCTCCAGCCTACCCAGGAGGCTTTTTGGTTCCCCATGCTCACCCAGGAGAAGCTGCCCACGTAAACAGCAGCTCGCCTATTGCGGAGGCCGCTGTACGTGTACAGGATCGCAGGACTCTTGTTATTGGGCTTGGGAGATGGCTCCTGGCGAACAGGAGGTGGTGGCTCAGTGCTGCTGCTTCTGTCATCTGAGGGCTGTGAGGTGGCTGTCAACACGTCATCGTACAGGTCAATCTGATCTGTATTGTTGAACTCTGGGTCCTAAGAGATGGGTTGGCAAAGGTGGGTTTGCAGACCTTCCACTGGGTTCATTCTATTTCATTCTAGTTTACTTAGAATCCACAGTCAAATACTTTGTAAAGCAACGTACAAAACTTCCTTGTTCTACTCTAGGAAGCTAGATAAGAATAATTTTCACTTAAAACCATTTCACTGAATTATGCTTCTGCAGGTTTTTCTCTCAAGACCTTGTTAGTAGGCTATAATGTTTCCAGCTTCAGCCAACTGTAAGAATCAAAAGGTACATGATGATTACACAAGCAAACTAAGAACACATAAAGATACACCTGGCTACTGCTGTCAATGAGGTCAGCTTCTAAAGACCACATCTAAGAGTAAGGAAAACTTTCCACATCTTATGCTATTTCTAAAATCAAGAGTTACACAAACCTTACAACTCTATTTAATAAGAGAATATATTCATTTAGAAATAAAAAGCAGGGAAAAGCATATTAAAGTGGGAACCCAGAATGCAAAAAAGAATTAGTGTTACTAGTTTAAACTTTTAGATTTACACAAATGATTCAGAGAAGCTCTAAAACTCATAGTACACAATCCCATCTTTCCAGTAACCATCAAAGGAACATTTTTAAAAAAGGGAAAAGGATAACTCAGAGATTTTCCCTTACTATTTCTCAGATGACAACGCAGCTCCAATACATTATTGAGACACTTAGACATAAGAGACTTTTGGGAGCAACACCAGAGATGTTCAATGATACACAAAAACAGTGAAGTTCTCGCAAATCTAAGGGTCAGAAAACAGGACAAGCACCCACACCATAAGCTATGTCACAGTAAGCATTTACAACATGAACATGTACTCCGAAACATAATCAGAAATATACTTTTTATGTGTTAGTGTTTACTTGTTTATTACTGTTATGGACTGAATGTGTCTGTCCCTCCAAAATGCTATGTTATAACCCTATTCCCAATGTGATGGTACCAGGAGGTGGGGTCTTTGGGAAGTAATTACAATTAGACCAGGTTTTGAGGGTGGAACCCTCATGAACAGGATTAGTGCCCATATAAGAGCCAAGAGAGAGAGCTTGCTTGCTCTGCTCTGCATCCATGAGGATATAAGCCGGCATTCTGCAACCTGGAAGAGGGCCCTCACCAGCACCCAAACCTGACTTCAACCTTCCAGTCTCCAGAACTGTGAGAAATAAATTTGTTGTTTATAAGCCATTAATGTTTTGGTATTCTGTTAAAACAGCCAAATTAATGCTATATACCCAAAATCCTAAAACCATAAGAACTACTACCAGGAGATCTTAATGTTTCAGATTTGGAATATTATCTCAAAGAGCTCTTTTTATGTTAAGTCTCAAACAGTACTTTTTCAAATAATATTCTAAAACATCCCAACAGTGCTAAAGATGATGCTGCCAAACTGAAAGAGAAAGAAAGAAGTTCAAAGTGTTTTAAGGGAACTACAGCTCATTCATGTCATTGCTGTGTTTTTAAAAAGGGAATAAAGGAAGAACCCACGTTAGGTAACTTGTCTAGTTCCCTGAAGAAAGAGAGCACTTCCTCCAATGCAACTCAGGACAGGAAGCCCCAATAACTTTCTCTCTTCAATTCCATCATAAGAACTGTGGAATCTAAAGTGAGACTAGAGAGGGCACTCACTACAAAACTCATTCCTAGACCTATATACCATCACAAACTTCTGGAAACCATCTTTTAGTTTCTCAGTTCATCTGAAGTACAGTGGAAGAACAGGTACACAAAGGTAGCATTATCAGACTGTTCTGATAATGAAGGGGAAAGGATTCTACTTCCTGAGGCATATAAATAATTTCAAATATTACAAATACTCTAAAAAACCCCACAAGAGAGGAATTTATACCTTGTAAAAATATCAGAGAGAATGGCAAAAGAAAGTAACCTTTTTAGAGGGAATACAAAAATAAGAAAAGGCAGGGGATGCCCAGATAGCTCAGTTGAAGAGTCAGACTCCTGGTTTCCACTCAGGTCATGATCTCAGGGTCATGGGATCGAGCCCCATGTCGGGCTCTACACTCAGTGTGGAGTCTAGTTGAGATTGTCTCCCTCTCCCTCTCCCCTCCCCTGCTCATGTGCTCGCTCCCTCTAAAATTAAAGAACTAAAATCTTAAAAACTTAAACAACAAAAGGAACCAATGAAGACAAATAAGCACAGGAAGACTGTTCTAGGTAGTCAAATTTATAAACAAAGAAGCATCCTGCATAAAAAGAGTATGTAAAGAACAGGAAGAGAAGCTAACATTGGAGAGCACAGGGTGGATAATAAATTGAGTAAAGTGAAATGCTAAAAACTTGACAAATACAATGGGTATAAAATACTTCATAGCCCTTATGTCTCAAAGAACTGCAACTCTAAACAAAATCATTTATTTACTCATTCATATAGTAGGTATGGTGATATGCCCTTATGGTTCAAGGTAAAGGAAGAAGATGGAAACCACTGGATCCTCTCTGATGTTCTAATCCTTAGAGAGCACTACTTCACACCAGGGTGCTTTTTCAATTTAAATCAAAGATTCTGAAATAAAACTTAAAAGGGGAATGAGGAAACACACTATCTTGGATACTCAGTGGAACCAAACTGTAATTCCTTCTAGGCAGTACCTGTGATTCAGAGATTGTGTCTAAAATTTATAATACAAAAATTACCACTGATAATTGGGTAGTAAACTAACACCCAGATCTGGACAGCTCAGAGACCGCACACATCACCAGGAAATCTCCAATATTGCAAGCCTAGGCCAATAATCTACTCTTTCAGGACCCTTAAAGAACACAATAGACTCAAGTCCTGAAAAACCTTGTATATGGATTACCTTACCACTTTTAAGAAGCACAAAAGGATTCAATGAATCCAAAACTGTCACAAGATTCAAATGGTTTCTCTGGGCCATAGAACCTTGGTTCAAAATAGTTGGTGGAAACTGCTCTGATGCACAGAGCAGGCCTGTTGAGGAGTCTGTTGAAGAAACAACGTATCAAGTTCTGTTTGGATTTAAATCTACTCGCAACACCAATTCATTTTAACTTCTTCAGCTGGTAAGACAGAAAAACAGGTTAAGGGCCTGAGGTTTTTCTGATTACCAAATGAGCTGGTGATTTATGCAGTATTGGATTAGGTTAAAGCAAAATCTAATTCTACAAATTAAGTGAAAAATACAATGTTTTATGTGCACTGATGCTGAAGGTTTCATTCCAGGGAGATTAAAAAGTAAGTATGTATTTAAAACTGAATAAAGATCTCAAGAAAAATTTTGTGTTTAATAGCATAGGAAGAACTATGACTGTCTCTGAAGCTTTTTAGATAAAAAAGAACTTGCATGATTTTGAATTTAAGTAAGAACTTCTCCAACTGTGTGCTCAATGTTTCTACCCTCCAACCCCCTTTTCCTGGTATCTGAGGGAAGTAAGAAAGGCTAGGATTTATGGTTCTCAAAGCCACCTACTTGATACCATTGTTCTTTTAATTGTAACTAAAACTCTCAGTTTTTGGCTTTATAATGACTAGCTCTAGTCCTCACCTTATGCCCTCCTTCCCTGCCACTGTCCACTGCCCTCAACCACCAGGAACGAACTCTTTTGAACACAGGGATCCATTTCTTCCCTGTTCCCTCATTAGTACTGACACTGTGCCTAGCAAACAGAAATTGCTAAGTACTTGTTGATGGAAGTAGCGAACAGAATTGGGCAATGTGCAAAGCACTTTGCTTAGCACTAGGAACAGAGGCAAAACACTCAGCAAAGCGGCAGCTCTCACTTTTCCAGAGTACCTCTCTCCAGCCCAAGAGAGCAGCTGTGAATTTTGACTCCTAATGTGACAGGAGTATAGTAGCTCTGCAAAAGAGCTCGTCGTAAGAGATCAGGGAGTCAGCACCATAGGGTTCCATCCAGGAACTGTGTTCATTCTGCTTGGGGAGCAGAGTACGTGTGACAGGGCTCTTGTGCACGAGTCGGCTCGGGATGAATCCTTAATATTCCTAAAACATTCTAAAATACAACCTGTACTGGCTGCCTTCAGTCTAACCTTGCTTTTAACAATCCTTGCCAAACAGAACTTTAATCACTGTTTTAGCAGCCTCCAAACTACACTAAGCCCAGCTTTACCAAAAATTAACTCATTTGGTGGAGGGGGGATGTGGGCACTAGGCGGCACCCCTCCCTGGACCTTCCACAAATGGACATAAAACATTCAAAATCTATACTTCTTTCAACTTGCCAAGCATTAAATATTGTCCGTTTGGTATAAATGTCTACTAGATTCCACATACCATCTTTGGACTATCTTAAACCCATAAAAAAGTCCTTTCTAACTAGAGATAGGAGAACAAATCGAGGCCAATGTCTTCTACTCTGACAAAGCAGTGACCACTGGACAAGGCCTGTGCCTTGTCTAGAATCTCCAAGTTATACTGCTTAAGAAATTAGATTTCCATTTTTTTCAGATCAAATGTGGCTAGACCTGCCCTGTTCTTCCAGTTTCTCAAAGTGAATCAGAACCATTGTTATCAACCCACAGAGAAGGAAATTAAGGGGGAAAAAGGGTTTTTATTAATGAAGAACTATGAGAACCTCCTTTTCTTCCTGTCTTGTATTAAAAATGAAACAAAAACAAAAATAACCCTCAACTTATAAAGAGTAGTAAAGATCTGATTCAAAGTTAATATAGAAAACAATAGTGTATAACTAAATTAATATACTAAACCTTTCTTTTCATCCATAATCATTTGACTTGTTTGAGCTTAAAAAGTTTTTTTCGGGGCACCTGGGTGGCTCAGTCGTTAAGCATCTGCCTTCAGCTCAGGTCATGATTCCAGGGTCCTGGGATCGAGCCCCACGTCAGGCTCCCTGCTCAGAGGGAGGCCTGCTTTTCCCTCTCCCACTCCCCCTGCTTGTGTTCCCTCCCTCACTGTGTCTCTGTCAAATAAATAAATAAAATCTTTAAAAAAAAAAAAAAAGTTTTTTTTTTTTCACATATTTAGGTCAACCGGCAGCCACATGTAGATGACTCCAGTTTATCTGAGGAAACATGGCAAAATGTTTAAGTGGTGAAGCTGATGGGTACAGCTCACTATACTATTCTACTTTTGTGTTCTAAAATCTCCATGTTAAAATGGCACAATGTGTTAAAAAATTTTTTAATGTAAACTTACGTTTGCTGTAGTATTTTTAATTTTACATTAGTCAAGTAAAGAAAATGACATGTATAAGACCTCTGTTGCCTTGTATAAAAGTCAGGGTCTAACCAGGGGACCTTCTTTCTCTAATCTGTTCTTTTTATCCTCTTTCCAGGTCCTTATGTGTACCACTGAAAGATCCTAATGGGAAGAACCAGTTTACTCAAGTAAACTGGGGCTGAAAACAATCTGCACAAGATATTACTAAGTTTTAAATAGAGACTATGGAACATTCTTGATTGACCTCAGTATGTTAGATTATTGTTTCAAGGGACATCACTACATAATGTTCCTTAACATAACATAATCAACCAACAATCCAGGGTATATGAGGGGGTCTACACATACTTTTTAACTGGTTTGTCCAACACCTTTACTCCTACCCTCAAAACAATCAGATTCATCAATAAAATAAAATCTATTACACCAAAATGCCTATGTACCTCTCAAGACTACAAACTACTTACAGAAGGAAGACCCAAAACAATCAGAATGAAGCTGCAATTAAATGCTAAAGTACGTTTTATACTGTTTGCACTGCCTTATGGAGAAGAGGATTATATTTCTCCAGCTACCCTTTCAAAGCATCGCAAAGCGGGGGGCCTGGGTGGCTCAGTGTGTTAAGCCTCCGACTCTTGATTTCAGCACCGGTCGTGATCTCAGGATTGTGATCTCAGCTCTGCACTGGCATGGAGTGCTTAAGATTCTCTCTCCCCCTCCACCCCCTTTCCCTCTCTACAAGAAAAAAAAAAAAAGAACTGCAAAGGAACGGGTATGAACACCGTCCTCATGAATACTACGGCAAACGTTAAGTGTGATTTTTTAAGTGTGGTTAGTCTTTGAGGAGACTGACACCCAAGTTTGGCCTCCTGGGGGAGCAAGTTCCACAGGTTGTTTCATCATTCTATTAAACCTGATTTTTATTTGCTCTTAAAGCTTGTAAAATTAAGCCTTGGGAGCTGAAAATTAACATAAAGCGGAATGATCAGGCGTCTTGAAAGTCTGTGATAGAGTAAAATTTTAGACCCGATAGAGGGATGTTCAGGCCGAGCAAAGACTGCCATAGCTTGGAACCACTGCAAGTTTGGTGAAAGTGATTCTTCAGCAGATCCAGTAAAGTCCCAATGCTCCCGATGACCCCTCACCTGATTGAACTCCTCGTCAGCATATATATCAATCAAGTCCACTCCTTCTGACATGGCTCCGGAAGGAAGATCGCGAGACCGGAGAACGGACAAAGTAAGGAAGATGCCACTGCGGTATCCTGAAAGAGGCAAGAGTTCGAAGGCATGAGGGTCCCGGGCCGGGAGAAGAGCAATGGTTGCCAACCTCCCGTCTCCAGAGACGCAGCATCCCGGCAGCCCAAGCTCGGTCCCACCCGCTCCGCCCCGCCCCCGGCCTCGCGCCGCCCCTCGCTCTCCCAGGCCGCCGGGGCTCGCGGGGCTCGCTGCCCATCACCCTCGGGCCCGACCCGAGTTGCGCCGCAGCTGCCCGTGGCGCGACGGCAAAGTCCAGGCCTCTGCTCCTAGGGGCCCTGGGACGGCGCTGCGAAGAACGACCGCGGCGAAGCCCGCAGCCCCAGCCCGCCGCACCTGCCTAGGCCCCAAAGCGGTCCCGGCTAGAGTCCCCGCGGGTCGTGGAGCTCCAGCCGCCTCCGCTCCCCACCCAGGCCTAGTCCTCGCCCCCAACTAGGCCCGCCCCGCTCCCTCCCCACAGACTCGGCCCGGCGCCCTCGGCCTCCTCCCTCAAAGGCCCGCACCTCCCCCCGCCCGCCGACTCCGGCTGCCCCAAACTCAACCGACCCCCTCCCAGTTTCAGCGCTGGCCCCGAGCCCTCTTCCGGCCCAGCCGGCCCCCGGCCGCGCGCCCCCGTTACCGGGAATATGGCGGCGGCGGCGGCGAGTCCGGACTAGGCCCGAAGCGCGCGAACCGCTCTCGGCCCCAGGTCCCGCCCCCCCGCCGCTTGCGTCACACGCACAGCCACTTCCGCCATACGCAGGGACGCATCTTCCGGCTCAGGCCCCTCAGCGCTGAAGTCCGTACTTCAGGCGTCCGGAAGTTCCCGGAAGTGGCCCGGCCGTAGGCTTCCGGTGTGGGTCGGGAAGGATGGCGGTGGCCACTATGTTACCGGGTCTGGCACGGGTGAGGAGAGTAGAGGTTTTAGGGTCCTGGGCAGGCCGTAGTGGGGATTGAGTCTCGTCTTCCAACGCAGTCATGGAGACTGCGAGGAGCATCCAGCTGCCTGATAGCCCAGGGGCAAGGGCAGAACCAAGGAGAGATCCGCCTTGCAACATGGGAAATTCAGGTCACATCCACTCTTTTCTTAGCCCACTGTGTGCCTGTCGCGTTCAGAGACCCAATTCAGATTTCACCTGTTTCCCAGGTGGAGCTGGCTGCACCGCCTCTGTGCGCCGCTTCTCTGTGTTCTTAGGTCTGTTCTTTTGGCTAATGCCTGTTATGATTCCACTTCTTAAGATCATTTTTTTTTTAATTGTAGGCTTTTCACACTGTGAACTTCTCTCAGTACTACTTTTGTGCTTCTTCTCATAATTTTTTTGTATCTTGCGTTTTCGTTGGTCTCAAGATATTTTCGAATTCCCCTTTTGATTTCTTCTTTGACCCATTTGAACAATTGGTTATTCATGAGCTATAGAGTGTGTTAATTTTCACATATTGGTGAATTTTCCAGTGTTCCTTCTGTTGGTCTCTAGTTTCATTTCACTGTTGTCATTTGTATCATTTTAATCTTTTTTAATTTGGTAAGACGTGTTTTGCAACCTAAGGTGATGTATCTTGGAGAGTGTTCCCATCCAAGGAATACATCCTTGAAAATAATGTAATCTGCTGTTGGGTGAAATGTTCTTTACGTGTCCGTTTTGGTCCATTTGGTCTATAGTGTTGTTCAGGTCTTCTGTTTATTGATCTTCTATCTAGATGGTCTATCCATTACTGAATGTGGAATATTGAAATCTATTTTTATTGTATTGCTGTTTATTTCCCCCTTCAGTTCTGTCAGTTTGCTTCATATGTTTGGTGCTCTGATGTTGTTTGTATATATAATTGTTTTATATTCCTGATACATTTACCCCGTTATCATTATATAGTAATGTACCATATCTCTCGTGACAATTTTTGACTTAAAGCTTGTTTTGACTGACATAAGGAGGGCCATCTTTGCTCTTTGGCTACCCTTTGCATGGAATATCTTTTTTCATCGTTTTGCTTTCAGCCTATGTATTCTTATATCTAAAAGGAGTCTGTAGTAACAGCATATAGTTGAATCCTGGTTTGTTTGTTTGTTTTTAAGATTTTATTTATTTTTTTGACAGAGCGAGAGCACAAGCAGGGGGAACAGTAGAGGGAGAGGGAGAAGCAGACTCCCCGCCAAGCAGGGAGCCCGATGCGGGGCTCAATTCCAGGACCCTGAGATCACAACCCGAGCCGAAGGCAGACGGCTTAACCATCTGAGCCACCCAGGCGCCCCGGATCCTGTTTTTTAATCCACTTAGCCACTCTAGTGTTTTGATTGGACAGTTTAGTTCATTTACGTGTGAAATAATTACTGATCGAGAACTTATTGCCATTTTATTAATTGTTTTCTATCAGTCTTATAGCTTTGTGTTTCACTGTCTTTTGTGTGTGTGTGTGTGTGTTTGTGTGGAGACAAGCTTTAATCCCTTTCTCAGTTTCTATTGTGTATCTTCTATGGATGTGTTCTTCTTGGTTACCATGGGTCTTACATAAAACGTAATAATCTATTTTAAGCTGATAACAATTTAACTTCAGTTACGTACCAAAAAAACTACTCTTTTACTTCTCACAGTTTACATTATTGATACCATAATTACATATATTTTTTTTAAAAGATTTATTTATTTGAGAGAGAACACGCATGTGTACAGAGGAGGGGGCAGAGGGAGAGCGTCCCAAGCGGACTTGCAGAGCCCCAGCACAGGGCTGGATCTCAGGACCCTGAGATCACAACCCAAGCAGAAACCAAGAGTCGGTCGCTTAACCATCTGTACCGCCCAGGCGCCCCCACAATTACATATTTTTGTGTTGTATATCCATTAGCTTATGTTTTTCTATTTTAACTTTTATACCAGAATTATGTACCACTATTACAGTATCCTGTATTTGTCATATATTTATCTTTACCAGTGATCTTTATGCTTTCATATGCTTTTGTGTTGCTGTCTATTGTCCTTTGGGTCCTTTGGACTTCTTGAATTTGGATGTTCATTTCTTTCACCAAATTTGGGAAGTTCTTAGCCATTTCTTTGTATTATTATTATTATTTTTTTAAGTATGCTATATTCCAACGTGAGGCTTGAACTCATGACCCCGAGATCAAGAGTGGCATGCTCTACTGACTGAGCCAGCCAGCTGCCCCTGGCCATTTTTTTAAATAAGTTTTCTGCCCCTTTCTCTTTTCTTCTTCTGGGTTCCCATAATATTTATATTGGTCTGCTTGATGATGTCCTATAAGTCCCTTGGGCGCATTTCAGTCTTTTTCATTCTTTTTTTTTTCTTCATCTGATTGGGAAATTTCAAATGACCTGTCTTTGAGTTCACTGATTCTTTCTTCAGCTTGATCACGTCTGCCGGTTAACCCCCGTAGTGAATTTTTTTCATTTGGTTATTGTATTCTTCAGTTCCAAAATTTGTTTGGTTCTTTTTAATATTTCTTCTGTTGATAATTCTGTTCATGCCTTGTTTTCGTAAGCTAATTGAACATTTTGTTGACAGTTGTTTTGAATTCTTTGTCAGGATATTCATATGCCTCTGTTTCTTTAGGGTCGGCTTCTAGAGATTTATTTTGTTCCTTTGATTGGGCCATGTATTCCTGTTTCTTCATGTCCCTTGCAACTTTATGTTGGATCCACACTTGAAAAAAGTCACCCCTCCCAGTCTTTTTGGACTGGCTTTGTACAAAGAAAGACCTTCACCAGTCAGCTTGGCTAGAGATTCCAGGAGTCTCTCAGACTTTTTGTGTGGCTAGGTCTTCTCTAGGCTTGTGCATGTAAATTCACAGTTCAAGGATTTGCTGGCTTCTTTTTTCAGGAGTCTCTGACCTGGTTTCTGGATTTCTCATAAAGGGAATTGGTGCATGTATTGTTGAGTTGGTGTCTCTGTGAGAGAGAGTGTGGGACTTCCTGTTCCATCATCTTGCTGGTGTCACTAACTTCTCACTGCATCTTGATAGGTTTTGCCCTTCTCTAGATTGGGAGCCTTTGGGGGATTAGGGACCATGCCATCACTGTATGCTCAGATTTCAACACAAGCAGGTGACTAAAATATATACCATTCTATAAGAATTTTAAGGGAATATAAAGGAAGGAGAAAATATTTCTGCTGGAGAATTTCTGGAAAGGTACTAGTTAAGAGCACATTTGCAGTTAGGGTTGGGTTCCAATCCTAACTGCGGTGACTATTTGGGTGACCTTGATAAGTTATTTAACCTCTCTGAGCCTCAGCTTCCTATGCTATAAAGTGGGGACAGTATCAACATAACTTTTTTTTTTTTTTTAAGATTTTATTTATTTATTTGACAGAGAGGGAACACAAGCAGGGGGAGTGGGTGAGGGAGACGCAGGCTTCCTGCTGAGCAGGGAGCCCGATGCAGGTCTCGATTCCAGGACCTGGGATCGTGACCTCAGCCAAAGGCAGACACTTAACAACTGAGCCACCCAGGCGCCCCTTAACATAATTTCTTAAGAACTAAATGAGATTGAATGCATTTAGCACCTAGTAAGTGTTGAGTGAATGACAGTGATGGTAGTCCTTATAAAGATGTTTGTGGTTTATTTCAGATGCTTGCTCTGTCAAGGCGCCATCTAGTGTCTCCTTTGCTCAGCGCACCATCTTTCAGCCGTTTCTACAGAGGTGACAGCCCAACAGATTCCCAAAAAGACATGATTGAAATCCCTTTGCCTCCATGGCAGGAGCGAACTGATGAGTCCATAGAAACCAAAAGAGCCCGGCTGCTCTATGAGAGCAGAAAGAGGGGAATGTTGGAAAACTGTATTCTGCTTAGGTAGGGAAATATGAGACTTCGTGTCACTTTCTCTTTTATTGGAGATAGCTTTTTCAACTTTGTTCTCTCTCTTTCTTGTTTTAGCCTCTTTGCTAAAGAATATCTGCACCACATGACTGAGAAACAGCTGAACCTCTATGATCGTCTGATTAATGAGCCCAGTAATGACTGGGATATTTACTACTGGGCCACAGGTACTGGGCATGATCAGCAAGCAGCATGATGTGAAAAATAGGATGACTCGCACTGATTTGGGTCTGGAATTGTGTCCTAGGCAATTTCTTTCTTTGTTCATGCAGTCGATCCTCAACCCCAGCACTCTTCAAATTTTTCAAAGTGTGCAAAATTGTTTTATTAAAGTTATTTGTTTGCAAGCAATAGAAACCTGTCTAACCTAAGCAAAAGGGGGAGTTTAGTGGAATAGTGTGGAAAGGCAGAGTTACAGAAAAACCAGGCTGAGAATGGTGTGGAACCTGACAGCTCTAGAAAGCTACAGAGCAAGAGTTCCTCGATAGTTTCACTCCAGCACTGCCTTTGGGAAGAACAGTTCTCACTGTGTATAGTTAGGATTAGCTTTGACTATCAGGTTAAAAAAAAAAAAATCAAAACAATAATAGCCTAAACAAATCAGGACTGTATTTCTCTCTCATAACAGCAGTCCAGCGGTAGGCATTCTATTCAGAAGTCATGAGGTCCAGATTCCCCTTGATGTGTTCCTTCATCCTCAGCATGTGCCATCTACCTTGTGGTCAAAGGTGGTTGCTGTGACTCTCTCTGTCACGTCTGTGTTTCAGCCAGGAGAAAATGTGTGGCAGCACACGCCTTATTTTTTATAAATCCTTCTCAGGAGGTTATGCACCACACTTCCACTAGTTTTCCATTGGCCACAGTTCAGTCACATGATGACGCCTAATGATGATGAAAAAATAATAGAGTCTATTTCATGCATCCAGTTACATCGGGAGTTCTGTTGTCAAGGAAAAATGGGAGAATGGATATTAAGGTACATCTCATCCATTTCTGTCACACTCTGGGTCTTCTGGTTTTATGTTTCCAGTCCAGATTTGAGTCATAAGACAGAAACCATTCTGTAGGTTCTGAGTGTAAAGTGTGATAATACAGAGTCTCGAGGCATATATAAACATTGGGAAGCCCACAAAATATAAAATATTTACTCTCTGGTCCTTTAGTATTGAGTAAAAGTCCATCATGTGACTGTACCCCCACAGTTTATCTGTTGACCAGGTGAGGGACGTCAGGGTGTTTCCAGTGTTCGGCGAGAATCTGAATAAAGCCACTATAAGCATTGGCATATAGCTTTCTATGGGTGTAGGTTGTAGTTTTTCTTGGGTAAATACCCAGGAGAAGGGTCACTGAGTCACATGGTAGGAGTTACGACAAACTTCCTCTTTGACGGGGCAGGGAGGAAGTACTTGAGGCCGTGCAGACCGTACAGTTTTCCTGCTGCCGTTGGAGCGCACTCACTGCTCCGGTGTCACAGTCACATTTTACTGACAGACACTGAACTTGAAATTTCATAGAATTTTCATGTGTCACGAAATACCCTTTTGACTTTTCTCCTGAACCATTTAAAAGTCATTCTTCGCACACAGGCCGTACAAAAACCGGCAGGAGGCTGTAGTTTGCTCCCTCCTGTGTTGAGTAGAAGGAACCAGACTCACAGTCCAGCCATCCATACTGTATGATGCCATTTTTATGATATTCTGGGAAGGGCAAGACTGTAGGGGCAGAAAACAAACTAGCAGTTGTCAGGGACTGGATGTGAAGTTCCCCATCCTTACCAGCACTTGGTATTATCAGGATTTTATTTGTTTTTGTTTTTAGCCATTCTAAGAAATAGGCAGTGATATTTCACTGTAGTGAATTGGCATGGCCCTGATGATAAGGATATTGAGGGTCTTTTTTTTTTTTTTTTTTTTTTAAGATTTTATTTTTATTTACTTGACAGAGAGAGACACAGAGAGAGGGAACACAAGCAGGGGGATTGGGAGAGGGAGAAGCAGGCCTCCCGTAGAGCAGGGAGACCGATGCGGGGCTTGATCCCAGGACCCTGGGATCATGACCTGAGCCGAAGGCAGACGGCTGAGCCACCCAGGCGCCCCTTGAGGGTCTTTTTTAAGTGCTTATTTGCCATTCATACATCTTTGCTAGTATGTCTCTTCAAATCTTAGCCCACGTTTTTTTTTTTCTTAATTGGGTTGGTTCATTTTCTAATTGAGTTTTGAGTGTTCCTTACTGATGTCAGATTCAAATCCTTTGTCAGATACGTGTCCTGCAAATTTCTTTCTCCTTGCTTATGGCTTGTCTTCGCATTTTCTTAACATTGTCTTTCGAGAGCAGTTTTTAATTTTGGTGAAGTACAATGTTTTATTTGGTGAGTTAGTGGATTGTGCTTTTCATACTGTGTCTAATAATCTGCCTTATCCGAAGTCACAAAGATTTTCTCTGTTTTCTTCTAGGAATTTTATAGTTTTAGAATCACCTGTTCAGTTTCTCCAAAAAAAAACCCAAAACAAAACAAAAAAACCCCTACTTGGATTTTGATTGGAGTTGTGTTGATCAACAGATCAATTTGGGAAAATTCCTTTAGCAATTTAGAATTGTCTAATCTATGAACATGCTGTATCTCCATTTAGTTTGGTCTTTGACTTTTTTTTTTAACATTTAATATTTTAAATTTATTTATTTGAGATAGAGAGTGAGCACATAAGCTGGGGAGAGGGACAGAGAGAGAGGGAGAAGCCAACTTCCTGCTGAGCAGGGACCCTGACATGGAGCCTGATGTGGTGCTCGATCCCAGGACCTTGAGATCGTGACCTGAGCCAAAGGCAGATGCTTAATCGACTGAGCCACTCAGGCACCCTTACTTAGGTCTTTGACTTCTTTAATCAGCATATTATCTATTGTTGTATAACAAATTACCCCAAAACTTACTGGCTTTAAACAAACCCACCTTTAATATCTCAGCCTTTCTGTGGATCTGGAATCCAGTCATGGCTTAGTTGGGTGCTGTGCTTTACTCTGTCACGAAGTTACAATCAAGGTGTCAGCCTGGGGTCGGGTTTCATCTGGAGGCTCAGCTAGGGGAGGATCTGCTTTAAGTTCTCTCTGGTGTTGGCACGATTAAGTTCCTCATAGATTCCCCACCTGCAGGCCTAAGTTCTTTGCTGGCTGTTGCCTAGAGGCTGTCTTCTGTTCCTTGTCCCAAGGGCCTCTCCTACTTGGAAACTTGCTTCTTCAAAGCGCGCAAGCCAAGAAGGCAAGAGAGGAGTCTGCTAGCAAGATGGACGTCTCGGTATTTTGTAACCTAATCATGGAAATTACATTGTGTTATCCTTGCTGTATTCTCTTGGTTAGAATCAAGTCATTAGGTCCAGCCCAGGGCAGGGGGTAGGGGTGAGAATCACACAAGAGCATGATACCTGGAGGTGGAGATCATTGGGGGCCATCCTAGAAGTCTGACTGCTACAATCCGTCTTTTGTAGTTTTCAGTATATTTTGGACATACTTTGCTGGATTTGTACCTAAGTATTTCATATATTTTGGTGCTATTATAAATGGTACTTTAAGAAAAATTTTCAATTTCCCGTTGTTGGTAGAATGCAGAAATACAGTTGATTTTGGTATACTGTGACCTTGTTAAGCTCACTCAGATCTAGAAGCTGTTTTGTAGATTCTTTGGGATTTTCTGTGTAGACAGCTGTGTCATCTGTGAACAGAGAATGTTTTCTTCTTTTCCAGTCTGTATGCCCTTTATATCTTTAATTTGCTTTATTGCACTGTCTGGGCTCTCCAGTGTAATGCTGAATAGTAGCAGTGAGAGCATCCTTGGCTTGTTCCCAGTGTTAGGGGGAAAGTATTCAGTCCTTCACTATTAATATACTGTTAACTGTAGATTAGTCGTAAATACCTTTTATCAGATTGAGAAAATTTCATTCCGCTTGTAGTATATTGAGCCTTTTTTCATAAATAGATGTTGAATTTTGTCAGGTGCTTTCTAGGCATTTCTGTAGAGGTGATAATTTGTTTGGTCATATGATTTCTTTCCCCTTAGTTTATTAATATGATGAATTTTTGATTGATTGATTTTCAAATATTGAACCAACCTTGCATTCCCGTGATAAACACCACCTGGTCTTTATGTATTGTTTGATTTGATTTGCTAATATTTTGAGGATCTTTTTATCTGTCTTCATGCGGGTTTTCTTGTAGTGTTATCTGGTTTTGATCAGGGTAATGCTGGCTTCATAAAATGAGTTGTGAAGTGTTCTCCTCTTTCATTTTCTAGAAGAGTATATAGAGTTGGTATTATTTCTTTTTTAAATATTTGGTAGAATTTGCTAGGGAAGCCTTCTGGATCTGAGGTTTTCTCTGTTGGAAGTTTTTAACTGTAAGGTCTAATTTCTTTTAATAGCTATGGAACAATTCAAGTTACCTGTTTCTTGGGTGAGGTTTGTTAGTGTGTCTTTAATAAATTTGGCCACATCACATAAGCTGTTAAATCAATGGATATAAAGTTGTGGTCATATTCCCTTTTTCTTTAAATGTCTGAAGAGCTGTAGTAAGGTCCCTCCTTTATTTCTAATATTGGTGATTTGTGGGGTTTTTTTCTTTTTTCTTGATCAGTCTGGCTAAAAGTTTATCAATTTTACTTATTTTCTCAGAGAACCAGCTTTCGATTTTATCGTTTTTTTCCCTATTTTTCTTTTTCTAATTTCATTGATGTCTGCTCTTTATTTCCTTTTTTTCCACTTGTCTTGGGCTTAATTTGCTCTTATTTTTTAGTTTCCTAAGGTGGAAGTTGAGCTCATTGATTTGAGACCTCCTTTTTAACTGTAAGCATTTAATGCTATGAATTTCCCTCTAAGCACTGCTTTTTAGTTTCATGTTGCAAATTTGGATGTGTTGTTATCATTTTCATTCAATTCCTAATTTCCCTTCTGACTTTCTCTTTGACCCATGAGTTGTTTAGAAGTTTCTTTCTTTTTTAAAAAGATTTTATTTATTTATCTGACAGCAAGAGAACACAAGCAGAGGGAGGAGCAGAGGGAGAGGGAGAAGCAGATTCCCCACTGAGCAGGGAACCTGACTTGGGACTCCTCAATTCCAGGATCCTGGGACTCAACTGAGCCACCCAGGCGCCCCTAGAAGTTTCATTCAAAATATTTCCAGA